CCATAAGTTGTTGGTGAGTAAGTTTAGATTAGACAGCTGTAAGAACTACTTCACAGTCAGGGCGGCTAGGATCTGGAACCAACTTCCAAGGGAAGTGGTGCTGGCTCCTACCCTGGGGGTCTTTAAGAAGAGGCTTGATGCCTACCTGGCTGGAGTCATTTGAGCCCAGTTTTTCTCCTGCCCAGGCAGGGGGTCAGACTTGAAGATCTACAAGGTCCCTTCCGACCCTACTTCTATGATTCTATGATACTTAAGACGGAAAAATCACGTTTCCCCTGGGGTTTTACTGAATTCCAGCAAAGCTGTGGTTGGTTGATTGACTCCCTAAGGTGGGAGAAGGCATATTGCCTATTGCCTTTTACCAGTTCATCTTCACAGTCATCTCGCGTGAGTCCTTCCTCTTCTCCCTCCTCCCCATTCAGTGGCTCCTCTGTGTTGATTTCTGTCTCTGATGCTGTGTCTTCCTGGGAGATCTCACTTTTGTTTCCATCTGCTTTCTTTCGTACCTCTGCAAGATCAAGAGCCAGGTCACCAAGATCAGGGAGAGGCAAAGAAAATGGAGGGAAAAGAACACTGTGATTGTTATTTAAATAGTCCAACAGGCCCCACCTATGTCATCCCCAAAAGGAATTAGTAATGGGTCTGATTCTTTCCCTGTTCTGGGGCAGCTCCATCACTGACTCTGATGGAGCCAACTGATGGTAACATGAAGACCTGAGACCCAGACCCATTGCTTCCAACAGAGCCAAGCGTAGCCCTTTTTGGTTTGAAGGGAAGAGAGAGTCAGGACCAGTGACACCACTGGAACCATTCCTAACCCATGCAGGTGTGAAGGGAAGAAAACCAGAACCTAGACATTTCCATTTTGTTACAGTGAATGCAGTGCTGGTGAATGCTGATAACTGGCCAGTTCTGCAGTCATGAGTCCTCTGCTCAGATATTCTGTACAGAACAGTGAAACTTTCCTCCTATCGAACACTGCCAATGTGTCTCCTTCCTGAGCCTCAGCAACCTCTTACAGAAGTGAGAATGAAGTCCATTTTAGACCTTGGTGGTGAAATGGGAGGATGATTTTTTGCTCACTATGACACGCAATGAGGCCTGTTCCTTCGCTCTCTACCTAGAGGGAAGTGCAAGTGTAAAAGTTCCCAGAGTAAAACAACTGCCAGTCACTACACTATCAGCTGGGGCTAGATTTGAACCAGGAAAATTACAGATGGCAGGGTCCCTCAGGCAATCACTTTCCCTGCTCTGAGCATTTTAAAACATTCTTTCCAGTTTTCCATGCTCCAATATCCATTTCTATGGGAATCAGAGCAGGAGAGATTACTCTGTTGAACTTCAGCTATATCATCTGAGTTGCAGCAATGTTTGCTACACTAATACACAGTATGGATTCTGTTCCCATCTGTAGCAGACCAGGATTGCCCTGCATACACGCCTGCCAGAAAGAGGGCCCATCTGCCTTTTAGCTCCAACCCTGTACAGTTACAGCACTGAGCCAGCAACAGGGAGAGCCATGTTTAGGTTTAAGAAAGTGAATTTTCCCAGTCAAAAGCTCTAACTACTAGGATATAGGTTAGGCATTGCCTGGTCATGGATTGTAGTCACTGGGTTATTGGACTAAAAGGTGGGCAGAATCTCTCTCATGAGGTATAAATGAGCCTAACTTCTAAGGTAAAAGATCACTGCCTTGTGCTGGGACCATCATGCCCTCTGAACAAGGACCATGATTTTTGCAATCTCATATGTATGCTTAGTTCACCACCTATCATCTTTTCAAAGTCAGCAGGGCTATCTGCAATAAATAAGACTGAAATTGTGTATTAGCCTTTGCAGGACTGGGTCTAAATTGTTAGGGAAAGCAAGTGAGGCCTGTGAGTGCTCTGAGGCATACTGGTTCTGCCTCAAGAATAAGCCAACTCAGTACAGCCATGTCTAGCTTACCAAGGTGTGGATGCTCAAATCTTTGCTAAACAACCAAGTCAGTTCAGCAGGCACTATATGCAAAAAACCTTAGGCATATTTAGTATGGACGTTGGGAAGGGTAACTCTGTGTTGCCAATGCTCACAATTTTATCACGAGTCTTCTGGTATTTGGCATTCTGCTCCAAAGTCTAATTCCAGGAATCACTATTTATGCAATTAGGAGCTAGGTGTATCTGCCCAGTTGCCTGCTGGTATCATCAGGTTCTTAAATGCTTTGAAAACATCTGGCCTTGGAGCCAGAAAGTATATTAAAAAGTCCCAATATATATGTGCGTGTGTGCATTTAACAAAAATGTCATAGTTTTAAAGCCAATCTCATTATTTCATGGACTTGCCATATACCTGAGGGTCAGCAACATTGAAGATTTCAAAATCAAGACGTTTCATGTTTTGTTGTCATTTTTTGAAGACGGTCCAGTTTTATGTGTGTGAAAAGCATGGTGGTTCATTTTTTTTCTGTTTCATAGTTGTTAGGGGCTCTGAAAATAGAACAACTTTGAAATGAATATGGATTGAGTTTTAACACACACAGTCCAATTCTGAAGCACAAAACCCCTAATGGGCTTATCTTAGTTCTTGCTGGGTATAAAAATAAAGTGGTACATAGATGCATGGTAAAAGCAGCATGGAAGGTTGCTCCCCCATGTTGCTCAATGGGATTTTTGTCTGATACTTTAAAGTAACAGCCTGTTCTAGAATACAGCTCCCAGATGTTGAAAGTGTGCCCTGCAAGGTCTGTGTGACTGTCTTTGAGATTAACTTTTCTGTACCTGAACTCCTTGCCCTCTCTTAGGGCCATCAGCAAGGCATTTGTTTGCAGCCCACTGACCTGTGGATGCTTTCTGTTCTTCAGCAATCTGCTCCAATCTGCCCAGGAGAGCATCAATGTTGGATTTGATCTGCGTCAGCTCAGTTTTGATTGTCTGCAGCTCACTGCATTTCACTTGGATGTGTGTGCGTCAGAGAGAGAGAGAGAGAGAGAGAGAGAGGGAGAGATAAGCCTTAGTCCACACAAACATCTTACATGTTAGGGACTGATTATATTCAATAATCTAGGAGTAATTGTGCTCACCATAAAACCTTTGATTGGGGAAGTGCTGTAGAAATGTGGGATAGGGACTGAGGAAATGTGGATAATCTGGATTTTTAATACGGAGTCAGTTTTGAAGAGACAGGATTGAAGAGTCAAGCACTGCTCATACAGGATTTCCTGGGAAATAGCTCAAAATTTTCCTCGCCTACTAAGAGGGTCACAGACTGCAAGCCCCATGAATTTTCTGGGCTACAACTGGGATGGATTATTGAGAAAAGCCCATTTCCCCTTCACATCCCCGGAAGAACCCCTTTTCCCTCCAACATCTGGCCTTCCTCCCTGACATGATTCAACTTCTGCCACGGCTTACTGACCAATCCCATTGTCCATGCGGTACAGATAAGGGGAAGCTCAGGGAGATGGTTAGTAGGGCTGTGTGAAGCTTCAGGCAGAGCTCCAGATCCGGAGAAGCTTTGGATGCTTTGGGGTCCAAAGCAGCACATCTGGGTCAAAGCGCTGGCCTCGTTCGGCTTCTCGAAGAGCTTTGGAGCCGCCTTGGAGATCCGGCCATAGGGTATAATGGGAAAACAATAAAATATCTATAACTTTGTTGCTTTTTGTCCAATTTGGATGAAACTTGTAGGGAAGGTAGCCTCTGCTGAAAGCATGAAACCTGCCAAGTTTAAGAAGATCGGTGCAGGGGTTTGGGAGGAACTGCACCCCAAATTTGTGAAAGCAAAACTCATGTCATGTCTCTGCGTTATAACATAGCAGGGTGAAAACTGCAGGGATGGTGGCTCTTACTGAGGCCACAAAGCCTGCCAAGTTTCAAGAAGATCAGTGCAGGGGTTTTGGCTGTACCCCAAATTATTGAAAACAAAACTCCTGTCACAGTTATGTGTTACAACACAGGGGGGTGAAAACTGCAGGGGTGGTAGCTCTTACTGAGACCACAAAGCCTGCCAAGTTTCAAGATCAGTGCAGAGGTTTGGGGGGGAACTGCCCCTCAAGCTGCAGACAAGCAAAACCCCAGCCATGGGTGCTGTGGGACTGACTGTCTCGGGCTTGGGCTGGGGAGGGGAGACACTACCGCAGGCCTGGCTGCTAAGCTGCCGTGTTCCCAGTTACCAATCAATCAATCATAATTCACTCAGGGGCTCAGGGACCAGCTCAATACACAGGACCTAGCTACTACATAATGACTTAACGGGCACCAATTAGCACC